TTCTCCTGTCTTCTCCACCCCCACAGCACTCCAGAACTCAAGGTTATGATAACTAAAGTTTGCATTTATATATTCAGAATCATATATTCAGAATCAGTGAGCAGTATAGAAAACGGATGGTGTTCTAATTTGTACAGGTGGGATCTGTAGAAATTCTGACCATCCTAACCTAGAACTTTATCTACATTCTAGGTGAGCCAGTTTGTACATAGTACAAAGATGTTACTTCATATTGCAAATACAATGCTGAGCTGTCCTGCTTCTCCTTCCCTATTTTCCTATTGGACAGCCAGAATACAAATAAACCAGAATTCACTTTTATTACAGGAGATTCTGATTTCCTTCAGGTGCAAACCAGGAGTTGTGGTTTAGCAGAAATATCTTCATTTGAATCCTCCCTACACGTAAAGATCACTGTCTTTTCAGTTTTTCTTCCTTATTTAAAGCTTGAGTTAATTTTGAAATGAAATTGTAATAAAGGCTCGTGAGGAGTTGTCTTGTTGAAGAGAAAAGAATTCTTTTACAAGCGTCAGCTGGACCATAGCTGCCTCTTACATGTGTTAGAGAAATTGAGTATGTACTGTTGGCCTACTCATATTACTACATTGTCCCAATAGGGGTGCTTTATAGATAATAGTGAAGGATATATTGTTCTATGTGCAATCATATTGACTTTCCATTTGGCTTCTTCTCTGTTCCCTTTCCCTTATATTACAGACAGAGAGACAGACAGATAGATAGATGGCATATATACCATTGTATATGGTATATAAGGGCCTGTGCTTATTCTTGCTTGGAAAAGTCCTTTACACAAAATCGACATTGAAAATGCTACTTCCAGAGGTTTAGCTGTGGTATTTTTGGGTGACTCTACTTCTGATTGGTTACTGTGTCTCTTTCACATTGAAATCTATGTGATTGGTATATGAATATTTAAACTTCTGAAATGAAACTGAAAGCTGTGTGTGTTGGCTTTCCCAGAGGTATACTTGATAGTGATAGTGATTTAATCTTACAGTAAGAGGCTGTGGTTAGGGCTAGTCCAGTCTTGAAACATCTGGAATTCTTCAATGTCAGTGGAATTCATATCCCCTGGGCAAGGTGAGCTCTTAAAGGTTGATTTCATTTAGGAGGACCTTGTATTCTTTGTGTGATTAATAGTTTTGATATATCTCAAATCTCCAAAGGCTACAGTTATAGTCCTAATTTATTTTAGTCCATTTTTTTTGGCTGCTGATACAATATTTTTTAATTAAAAGAGGTTACTAGTCAAATGGAGGGGAAACTGTATCTGTTTCTAGTAGTTTTCTACTGGTCAAATTTACCCAAATGAGTCCAGTATACGTTTAAATTAAAATATGGAAAGATATGGTAATCAGTTCAAACACTGAAAGAAGTAATTGGTGTACAATAGTAGCATTTTTAAACAAATTCTTAAAAATGCAGTGGCATACTTAATGTTAGTACATAGTGGAGTGCCATAGGTATAAGCTTCGCTTTCCCTGTTCCTGGATTTCCATATACTTTATACAGAGCTTTGAGGAAGAAAGTAGAAGTTTTATTTTCAGGTTAACTGCAGGCAGGTGGAACTTCCAAACTCCAAAATGTTAATTTTAATGATGGATATATAACCAGCTTCAAACCATAATTTGTGAAGCTAACTTCTTTATATTAACTTCCTAAATTATGATTTGAAGCTGGTTTGTTTCTCTAGCTCTGTACAAAGTCTGTCTAGTGTAACACATGTACTGGAAGGAGAAAGGCATTTGTGGCCAAGGAGATCTTAGGCTTCTCTTTATGTGTCATTCAAATTAACTTAGTGAATGGATGCTTCCATTTAGTCTTTTGAAAAGACTACAGTAGAGATCTTCCAAAATCATGGCTATTATTGTTAAGATATTTGCATTTTTCTTTTTTTCTTTTTTCTTTTCTTCAACTTTTCAAATTAAAAGTAGGGCTAAAATTGAAGCAGTTCTGATTCTGGTTAAATTGGCATGACTTCTCCAATTAGAAGTGTGTGAGGGCTGTACCTGCATTGAGTAAGAAACACAAAATTCAATCTAGGAGAGTGGAGTTAGAACAAAATTGCAGTTGCCTTGTGTTGTGGCAACATCATAAGAAATTAGAGAAGCTGCTGCTCAGTAAATATACAACATCAGGGAATGTAAACTTTTGCTAAAGGAGAACAGTATATCTTGTTAGACACTCTAACATAAGGAAATGTGAGCCAGGAAGGATTTCCATACAGCTAAACTGGTGCCCAAGAAAGATATAGAGTGATGTTGAACCATTTTGCCAAAGGATGCAAATTGCACTTACTATTTATGCTTGAAGGATTCTATTCTGTGTATTTCCTGATCAAAGTACACTCATAAATTGAATCAATAGCTCTAAATTCTTCTGGTGTTTTATTTAAGTAGACTAGAACATCTATGTTCATGACAGTGTCCTGGATACCAACAAATACCAAAAACACACCAGGAAAAAAAAAGACTGCTATTTTCCTGTTTTGTTTGTGAGATTCCCAGAACAATCTGCTTCTGGGAATCTGGTGGGATCAAGTCAGGCTATTTTTTATTTTTTTACTAGCCTTCATACACAGGAATGTATACTTAACTGTGGTACGAACAATAATTAAGATGATAATGGCAATTACATCTTAATTGTTCTTTCCATATGAACAGAACAGGAATAATTTCTCATTGTAAAGGTTATAATAACTGCATTCATAAATATAACCAACACATGTTATAAGAAACATTAGCTTAAATTATATGCAAACAATTAATCAAAACATACTTCGTATGTTAGATCTTGTTTTAAAATATGGATATGGGTAGTCAGTCTCCAGCTGACATGATTGCACACTCTTTTTTTCTCTTTTGAAAACACTCAGGATCCAAAACTTATGCTTAGATAATGCAGGTATCTTCTAAAAGGCATCCATACCTCTATGAGCATGAAAAGGAAACGCTTCTTTTAAAATGATGTTGCCATTACGAGTTTAAATGTGTATCATTAATTGTACAGTATGGAGAAATAAAATAGAGGGCCAATTTGCTGCACTAAAAGGTTGTTGCTAATAAAAAAAAGTGTTTGCCTCCCCACAATATACTTCGTTAAAAAAAAATAATAATCTATAGTCCTCTGTATTTATAACCTGAGCATTCTTCTAACCACATAACTTTCTTTTAGGAAAAAACTATATAAAGCTATTTAACTGTTTTTAGTGGTTGAAAAAAGGTCTTAATCCCTTAGAGGTTCTTTAGAAAAGGTTATGTTGGCATCTTGGATTTGGCAAAGCCAATCTCCAAAGTAACTTACTGAATGTTTTCCTTGTAAGGAAAGTCCCCTGCTTTGCCCACCTGAAATAGAACTAGAAGTATTGTGGCAGTCATATTACTAGGCGACAAATGGACAGTATTGCCCATTTGAATGAATAGTATCCATGTTTGAGAAACTGGACATTAAGGCACAGTCCTGGCAAATTACAAAAGACTTGCTACTGCTCCGAGTGTCTAATTTAATAAGAATTTGTGCTTTTTTATGCTTCTTTTTTCTTCATTTCCCTTGCACCCTTCATCCTGGTAGCTCTGCTTTCTCATGTTTTGCACTTAATCTTTCAGGAGCGTTCTGAGTAAATTCTTCCCTTCTCTGCCATGCAGCTCTTCGTAAGCATAAAGCTAAGCGATAACGCTAGTTGATACTGCTGTCACTCGCTATTAGCTGAATCTAATCAGGCATAGAAACGTAGGGCCAGAAGTCCTTTATCTCTTCATATACATTCAAGTTCATATCTGTACTGTCTTGCCTACAAAAATGTATGAACAATGTTTCAACATTGGGAGAGGGTTCTGCAAGTTTTTAATACTTTTCTCACACTTTGGGGTTAAAATTAGGCCCGCTCATGAGCACTGAAAGCCTCTATAATCCAATCGTTTTTTCACCATGGTAAGCAGTTAGGCACCTCTGGTAAGCCAACAAGCCAGGCCTGAACGCAAAAGCCCACTCCATCCCATGTTTCCCAGATAATAATGAGAATATATATTGTTACTGCCAATTGTATCATACATGCCAGGGAATTCCATAGTTTTAGTTGTCAGAAATAGTTTTTCCTTTTATCTGTATTCTACTGCGGCATTGATCAGCACTGGATATCTCATGAATGGTTACATTATGAGGGAGGGAAAAACGTTTCTTTATTCATTTCTCCATAATCATATATAACTTATATCCGGACAGTCATATCCCTTTTATTTTCCCTTTCCTTAAGCTTAAAATACCCCCATTACCATAATCTTTCTTCAGAAGCTCTGACCTTCTGAGAATTTCAGTTATCCATTTCTGCCTCTCTTTGAGGTGAGGAGACCAGGACTGTCACCAATATTTCACCATCGATTTGTCTGATAGCTTTTATATTCCACTCCTAATGATTCTCATGATGGAATTTTCCTTTTTCACAGCAACCAGGCCTTGGGTTATTGAACTCATTGAGCTATCCGCCATAATCCCAGACCACTTTCCTGTCAACTACCATCCCCTCAGACCACGTTAGCACATACATGAAGTTAGGGTCCTTTGCCGCATTGTGTAGCATCTCGCTCTGCAGTTTGAACACCCCATTCCGCCAATTTGGAAAAACACGTTTCAAGCTCTTTGGTCCCCCTTTTCATTTCAAACAACCTAAATTTGGTGCTTCTAAAAGCAAAATAAATTGCATTAAAGTACAAATAAATTACTGGGACAACAGATACTTGTTGCATTTAATTGTAACATCTTATGAGATGATACATTGGGAATATGATTAATTTTTATATATCTACAATTCATTTGAAATATCAAGTTCTTTCTAAATCTAGGCCTTCAGTTTCATATGCTATGCATCTGTATTGTGAGTCTCTAAATAGCAGTCTATCGCATAGAATTGTGTAATGAATGCTGTACATTTTAAAGGACTTTTTGCTGATCTTTTGTTGTTGTTTTTCTTTGCTTGTACTTAGGACTTTTCAGAACTGGAGAAGAGAGATCCCCAGGAATTAGTTGGTAAGTACTAACAAGTGTGATATCTTCTATTTGTAAAAGCTTTATTTTTGCTCATCTTGTTTTTCTTGTACTATTAATGCTATTTTGAATTTTCATGCAGTTCAGTTTTCACTGTAGAATCAAGGGAGACAAAGCATTCACAGAAGACTCCGCCTCACCAGCGTGCTGTTGTTTTCTGCAATCTGCTGCTGTGGTCCTTAGGTGTAGGGAAAGAGGGAACTTACCTGCTTCCGAAAGCAACAAGGCCAGTGGGTAGAGGGGAAAAAAGAAAGATTCCACAGCCTGGGCCTCACTTCTGCAAGGTGGCCATGTCCACTAAAAGAACAGCACTTGATTGACTCCTTTCTCTTCCCTGTGACCTTTTTTCTTCTCTCTCTGCCTACTCAGGTTTCTTCCTCTTTGCTTGAGTCTGCTCCAGTGCATGCATATTCATAGCTCTCCCTCTCATTTTTCTTATGTGGTCATTTCTTTTTCATGCTTGTTCTCTTCCATTTGTGCCAAATATTCCTCCTTTCCTTCAGATGGCTACAGAGGGCAACGATTATCCTGCCCATCTACATCATAAACCATAGCAAGGATCCTTTTGTTGGCTCAAAGACTCTAGATGAACTACAGAAGAATCACTGTTCCACCCACCAGCCACTCTAGTACAATGTTTATTTTCAGTTTAATTATTAAATGGACCCATTTTGTATTCTTAAATCACACTGAGGATATTGCTGGGGAAAAGTTGCTTGTGAAAAAAAAAATCCAAATCTTTTCACTGGCTTCCTGGTCCTGCAGTTTAATATTTTCTTTCTATAAATGGATTGATGCTTCTTCCTGATGCAGGAATCAAAGACTCAAAAGGTCATTCTGTCTATATAATTTAGGAAGAATAATTGGTACAACACTGAGTTTTTTTTAGCACTTGTGAAAATGCTCCCGGTATTATTAAGGTGGTATCCAAGAGTGGAAATGCACATTATCAGGAATTAATGTTAAAATATGTTGATTTCATTTGTGCATTCCTTTGTCCACGAAGAAGTTGGTTAGCTGTAGTTCACTTGCAAAATGTATGATGGATTGGCACTTTGATGCTCCTGATACATCTCTTTTGCCGCTGCCAGAAAGTAGGAAAACCTGCTTTGTTTTCCATAACATTAAAACTGTTTGGGACTGCTGGAGACTTCTGGTGAGGACATGGCAAACTGACTTCCCTGAAGGAGCGGGACAGCATTACAGCTGAAATCCATGGCCAGATGTGGGATGCAGACCAGCGAAATCTCTCCAGAGAAAGGAAAGACCATGAGATTGCCCATGTGTACCCCAGACAGTTGCTCCTCATGATTAGATGGCAGGAACTGAAGTTTTTACAGTTGGCTTGTGAATCGGAGTGGCTGGAGGGATTCCATCAAAGCTCACAGTCGTAACGTAGTGTCTATGGACAATAGGTTCAGTCAAGCCTCATTTCTTAATCACTTTTGAAATTGCTTTTTTGTTGCCTTTCATGTATTGAGACCCTTTGGGATGGCAAGTTTTATGGCATTCACTAGGTGAGTTTCCTTCAATCCTTAGCAAAAGAAGTTTTAAATACGACTTTAAGGATTTAGAAAAAAAAAATCTGAATTAAACAGCAAAAGGGTGATTAAAGTGTTGATTTTGGAAAGTTATAAATGGACTAAGGATGGATTTGAAATAAGATTTTGGAATTAATTATAAGAGTCCTTCCCATGGAAAACTGCTGATGTTTTGAAATTTTAAAAAAAATAAGATGGGACTTTGAAGTTTGGGCACTAAAGGGAACCAGAAGGAGCTAAAGATTACAATTAAAGGAGAAGAACACCTAAATTCAACTCACTAATACAGAATGAAGCAAAATACTTTAACATTAGATGTACTGAAGGGTATTTGTGAACAATGGACTCAGAAGTTAATTTTCAGAATGTCTGCCATTATAGATAGACTGTGCGTAAATGATGTTATGGAAGAGGAACAAGTTTTACTGGACAAGACTGAAATGATTTAAATGTAGATTCAGAAACGACAGGCTATGAGAATGATATGGAAAAAGATGAAACACTGGATATACAAATGAGACTGGCTGATGTTTTAATAACTGAAAGGGACATACAAATAATAAACCAGAAGAGTGACTTGGAAAACTTTCTTATATTGGATTTACAAAAGAGACCTGTTAAAGTTCTGAAGGATTTTGTGAGAAAAGATAAAGAAAAAATGAAAAGAAATCAAGTTCCAGGACAGTATTTGAAGGGATTAAAGACCAAGATTGTTAAAAGTAAAGGGAAAGAATATAAAGTTGGCTTATTTGATCAAGGTTAAAATAGCTGTGTTGCTATCTCTGGTAACCCTTATTGGACTGTTGTTGACCGGAATTGAATGACAAGGTTTTAAGGTCTTGTTTATAGATAAGAGAGGGGATATGGGAAAAAGAGTTCATTTGATGCATTTTAAGTTTATTTGATCAAAAAATAGTTTTGTTGGTATTTCTGGTAACCTTTAAAGGATTTTTTTCTGATTAGGACTGAATGATGAAGTTTTAAAGTTCTGTTTATAGTTAAGAGATGAGATATAAAAGTAAAAGGAAGAAATATAAAGTGGGTTTATTTGACTACATTTAAAATAGATATGTTGTTATTTCTGGCAACCCTTAATGGACTTTTGCTGATCAGAACTGAATGATGAGGTTTTAAGGATTTGTTTATAGATAAGAGGTAAGATATGGGATGCAGTGATTGTTTTATTTTAAGAGAAAGTGATAAGTTGTTAAAATTGTTTATACTTGTGATGAAGGGGGAAGTTACTTATATATTTCTTTTCTATGTATTTTTTTCTTCTTTTTTCTTTTTTTTTCTTCCTACCATTTTCCCATAGTTGCGGTGTCCACTTCTGTACTTTTTATTTTTTATTTCTATTCTTTTATTTTTTATAGTTTGTATTAGTTTTTTATCTGTATGATTGTAATATCTAATAAAATTATTATTTAAAAAGTGACCTCAGAATTGCCACATAAATGAGGGGTGGGATAGTGCAGGAATAGATGGGAGTCGGACATGTCAGTGAGAGAAAGCATGAAAGAATCAGTTTTGATAAGATTATCACGAAAGAGTTGAAAATGATTGATGGTCCTGGAATAAAGAGAAAAATTGAGTGTTAGTAAGCTGCCGGAAGGGAAAATAGTAGATAGAGTGTTAATTGAACAAGAATTTGGTTTGGACAGTGAATATGAGGAGATTTGACTTATGAGGGACCTTGGAGAAATAACCTTGAAATAATTTATCTGAAGTTAATTTGCAAAGGGCTAATTAAGGCAAGTTTCAGTCTCGCTGTATTCCTTCTGTAATGTGAGAATTATGTTGCTATAATATATTGCCATAATGATTGACCATAACTTTTTAGGAATCATTTTATGATTGACTGCACCTAAATTGCCCGCACCTCAGTTTGCAGCCGTTTTATACTAGCATTCTTAACAGTTCATAAAATGGTTGAGGAGTCTTGATTCAGAAGTGAAAACTCACCTTGTTCTTCTGTGCTTGGTAAAGATAAGATGCGGGCAGTACGATTGCACTTTTGAGCATGGACCTGGATAATGGTGATGCGTTTTCTACAGTTCATGTTGCAGAATCTCTGGTACTACAGGGATGACATGCAATAATATCAACCTTATTATGCTTTAGGAAATTATTAGGTATTTTTATTTCTTACCTAATGATTGTTTCTATGATTTTTATTGAATGGTTTTAATCTTCTTGTGATTGCTTACTTGGATGTGTTATTGTACTATGGATGTTTTGTTACTACTATGATTGTAACTTGCTGAGAGTCCTTCAGTTGTGGTAGATAAAAATAAATAACTAGTGGGTTGCTACACAGAAAGGCTTTCTTAGAGGGAATAGTCAATTTCAAAAGGTTGCTGCAAACCTTACCATGTTAATCCATCCGTAGAGGGAAAATTTGAAAACTAATATAAAATTCAATTTTCAGGAAATACTGTAAAGCCATAATATAATTTAGAACTTATGAGGTACAAGGAAAGAGCTGTGTCTGATTTGAGGAGAAACCTGGATCCTTTTAATGGGTGGCAGAATACTAATAATACAATGAAGGCTTTTGGCTTAGAGAAATGCAAGGTGATACAGTTCTGTAGAGTTCCTCTAAGGACAGGGGAAGTTTTGTGCCTCTGAGTCAGTCCTGACTCCTGGCGACTGCCTGGACAAGTCCCTGCAGCTTTCTTGGCAAGATTTTGCAAGTGGTTTATCATGGCCTGCTTCCTAGGGCTGAGAGAGGGGGACTGGCCCAAGGTCACCCAGCTGGCTTTGTGCCCAAGGCGGGACTAAAACTCACGCTCTCCCAGTTTCTAGCCCGATGCCTTAGCTGCTCCACCAAAGTAGTTCTCTAAGGTTGGGTAGTGTTCTAAAAACAATTAACTGCCAATAAAGGACATTTGTGCAGTATGTGGGTAAAAACAACTAAGCAAAGCAGATTTCTTATACTGCTGAAGTTAGAAATATTTTAGTGATACGTTCCAATTCCAGTCAAGCCCCAGCTTATTAAAGTGGCTTGCATTGCCTTAGTCAAACCTTTTGTCAAAGCCATAGCTGCAAGGTATGGATAATTATTTACTTCACAAATGTGCTGGTTGTTGTGCTCATGGTGGTGAGTCATGTCTAGAGTCAACATCCTGGATTCGTGACGTAGTATTCTTTAGTCTGGAAAGCAGCAAGGGTACACACCCTTGTCAGGAGCTGCAGCCGGTGTCACTGATTTGGACTTAAGCAAAAGTGAAATTTGATCTTTGCCAAAATAGCATAATGAAGAATACATAAATGTCTACCATTGCATCCTGGCATTGTGCTCCTTTTCAAGGGAAAGGTAGTGAAAATAGCAGATACAATAAACTTGTGTTTTCTTCTTTGTTTATATTGTAATAATCTCAGGCTTAGGTATCCAGTTGATTTAAATACCCACACAGATGCTTTCCCTACCCCTCTAGCTGCTTTTTAACATTTGTTATAATCTTTTCTGTCTTTCATTGTCTTTCTCTTAAAGGACTAGTGTAATATGTTAGTTATTGTGCTGGACTGATATAGGAAAACTCAGGATCAAGTTACCCATTGGACCGTGGAGCACCGAGGGTGACTTTAGGCACCCATTAGAAAATGAGTGTAGAATACAGCATAATCTAGAACCAAGAGATGAAAGAACAGCAACGTCTGCGGTTTAATATTTGCTATTTGATGGTTAAGTCAGTCTTCCTGCAGCATGCTGTTTCTGTGTGATTTCTCTGAACATGTCGTCTTCATTTTCTTATAGAAAATGGTAGTAAAAAGGAGCTTTAGGAAAATCCAAAGGTCTTGTTTATAGGTGACATACAGTCAATATACTTCATTCTCCATTCTCCATTGATTTCAATTTAGGCTAAGTAATACGTTCAAAGTTTTGCCCTCATGAAATCCAAAATAATAACGACACCTCACCTTTTCTCAAATGTCTGGACTCTGGTCTAATCTCCAGGATAAGTAAACATCATTTGTATGTTGCTTTATGCCTTCCCTGCCCCCACTGAAATGCAGTTCTTAATTAGAAACATTTGCCCAACTCTCACATCAGTAGCTGTAATCTGAAGCAAGTCTGTAGCTTGTTGTCCAGAGGTTCTGGAGCCAGCCTCTGTTTCTCTGGAGACGCTGGCAAGATTTCTTTTTTCATGGAAACACATTCTCTGGAAATGTCAACGGACATTTCTTTGTTACTTGTGACTGCTAGAGAATTCAGCCTTACATACCATCCTAGAAAAAAAGCTATTGTTGAGGAATCGTTCCAATTATAGAATCTTCAACAGACTTCCAAAGCTTGACAGTAGAACAAAAATTCAGATGAAAGTATTACCTGTATATCACAATGGAGGCATGAATGAGAGTCACCATTGGTAAGCGAGACACAGATTTGTGGCATTACCTTTACTCGTGTTTACTTTTTTTCGTAGACAGCAGATAAAGGTAATAAAGATGTAACAGGAGGCTCAGAGTTTAGTACTATTAAAATGGTAGAAAATAAAAAGAGGTTTTCTTCTTTTCCGTGAACTGCCCCTCCCTACCATGTTTTTTATAGTAACAGTTGAAAGTTCAGTAAAAACATTTGTTCACAAATGAGCTTTTCAGACTAAAGACAGAGCCTGATGCCAAGGGCAGAACTGGAGTGCAGTACACAATGTTGCCTTGGAATAATCCACTTAGAAAAGCAGCCTTTTTTCTGTTCTTGTAAGGTGTCCTGTGTCTCCAGTTTTCTCCCATTGCCAACAGTCTGTACATGACCCTGCTGAATATTTATCAGGTTATGCCTTTATTTTTGTTCTTGCAATGTGTTTTAAATGAGGAATGTCAACAAACACCCTGTAGCATGTTGAAGCTCTCACATTTTAATCCAATAATCGAACCCTTCATTAACAAATGACTTAGGGAAAACAAACTGGTTGCCTGTATATTGAAAAACTTCTAGATTGACAACCTCTCATATTGAAGGCTGCTCATAGGTTGTAAAATGCAAATTTTGGCTATATAGCAACACCAATATTCTTGATCCCTAAAATATTCAGTTAGTATGAACTGCAGCTTCTACCAGCTCTAGCCAATGTGGCCAGTAGCAAGCAGTTGGAGACAGTGAAAATTACAGTGCAGAATACATGGAGAGAAGCATATTGTATGCATTCTTGCTTGTCAGTTAACTTGCTCCCCAGTTTTTAGAAACCACTTACTTGTTTGGATTATCTATTGCTAAGATCAGAATGCAACTTTTACAAATAAGCTTAATTTGCTAAAACGTCTAATTCTAATGGCCCTCTCTCTCTTTCTAGCTTCTTTCTCTGAGCGCGTAAGGAACATGTCACCTGATGAGATCAAAATCCCCCCAGAGCCACAAGGGAGATGTTCCAACCACTTACAGGTGAGATTTTCCCTGAATTTTTTCTTCTTTCTAATCACCAAGATTTTCTATATTTAATTACCATCTTAAGTATTGTCTAAGATTCTGTAAAGGGTATTTGTTTCAGGAGTCTTATACACAGGTCTTGAGTGTGCACATTCTCTCTCATATTGTTGACTCCTATTATAATAGCTTTACAATTATTATTATTGTTATTAAATATTATTTGTATAAGTTGAGATCAGGTGATCTAAAAGCAGAGAAAGGTTTTACTAGAAAAGTTTATTCCTAAAGGCTGGATAAGTTGCAGAATGGCATGAACATGGAATAGAGATGAAGGAATGAAGATTTGGAGAAAATCTGAGGCCTTCTCTTATTGTTATTGGAACTGTCTTCTATTTGCATATATAAGGAGTCCTTGTACTCAAGCCAGTATTTTGACTGCATTGACTTGTCTTACTATAAGAACTCCCCCATTGCCCCTCCCCAAATAAAGTCCTAAATTTGATATTGATATTGAGAGATTACCAAAGGTCATATGCAACACACTGTTCATTTGTTAGATTTATATCCTGTCTTTGATTTAGGAGCACAGCATAGCTATCAACAATGCTATCTTGTAAGTAATACCTGTTGTAGTGGATATTTGTGATTGAATTAAAGGGATACACATCCCTGATAGAAATTTTAGTGCCATTTAAAATATAGTAGAAGAGTGGATGAGAAGGCTAAAAAATGCAAAGATAATGCTGTAATTATGTTCATAAAGACACTGTACATCTCAAAATACTATCTAAGAATCTCGATAAGCAGTTTAGTGAATTCTGAATTTGCAAACTGAGTTCAGTTATATAGAGTATAGTATCCAAAACAGTAGAGATGGAAAAAAAACTTCAAATTCACTGAAGCCAGACTTATATGCAATATGTATTTAAAGAACTGTACATTGCTAGAACAAGAGATCCTGTCTGTCAGATGCTTTTAAGCCAAATGATGCTGTTAGGTGTCACTTGACACAGTAATCAACCTGATTTTTTTTAATGAAAAGTAGGTTGAAATCATTAAGAATATCTAAAACACTGCTTATTGGTGTGGGAATATGAAGAGCGCTCTTTGAAAGGGGAGGAATGTCTGCATTTGTGTATCAGGGTATTTGGTTCTTTTCCTTTCAAGAAAAACTGTTGCACACTGAACTCTTAAGAGACCTTTCACATATCTTTAGGAAGTCTTTGGTACTTTCAGACATGCTCAGCCCTAGATCTATATTTTTTTTACAGCCTAAACATCCATTTCCTTAGTTTATCAACCAAAATTTGTTGTGAGCCGCCCAGAATCCCCCATTGGGGGGAGATGGGTGGGGGCAAGCTTAATAAATAAATAAATAATAAAATTTCTGTCAATGTGTGACCATGCATAATTATAATTATAGCTACTGTATGTAATTTTTTAAGGTACAACACTCTGTACAAGAACAGTCTAGTTCACTCAGAATAGATTATGAATATTACACTGTTGCAATGTAATTAAAACAAGGTTGAGGAATCTGTGGTTCTTCTGATGTTATTGAACACAAACCCACAGTAGCACTAGCTAACAGGGTCAATAATGAGAGGATGCTAGGAGCTTTAGTTCAGCAACATCTTGAGAGCCATTGGTTCTTTAACCCTACCTTCTGAAGATACCTGGGCTGTAATTCAAAACATCTGGAAAAGTACTAAGTTTTGTATCCTTCATCTCTTGCTTTTTGAGAGAAAAGTGTCAATTTATCTTCTCTTTCAATACTATATGCCTGACTATTATCATTCCTTTGTCTCTATTCCTATATTTTACCTTTAGGACAAAATACAGAAACTGTATGAGAGGAAAATCAAGGAAGGTATGGACATGAACTATATCATTCAGAGGAAAAAAGAGTTCCGAAACCCCAGGTAAGAAGTAGTCTGGGAGCACATTTGTAGGCCACCAAGCTCAAAACTTGAGTGAATGCCAAATGTTCATACAAAGACTTTAAGTGTTTGCTGGGATCATGATATTGCCAGTTGAAATCTCCAGCTCTCATGTTCATATGTAACTATGAAGACTCAGAGTTCCAGAAGTATACATCGTACTACCATTCAGAGGATATCTGTGTACTGTTCATGAGCTGGGGTTGGACTGGAGAGGGGGCAGTTTTCTTTTCTGGAACTGGCTCAGGATGACATGAATGGTTTTCTATGTAAAATATATTCATTAAGCTTGATGAAAATATGCAAACTGGTTGATGCTTGGGTATACTGCCCCCTCCCAAAAAAACACCTCTATAAGGAGATTAAACAAGCCACATGAACATTCTAGGTTCTGAAATGCCATTTCCTACGGATGATTGAGGGCTCATTCTTAACCATTCCCCAAGTTCAGTCAAATGGTTCACAATGACTTTTGTAGGCAAGAGGCTTGGAGCATTCATCTAGAGAATGAATGGCAATAATAGATAGCATAGTGTAGCCATGGAAGGTTTCATCCTTGATTCCCCCCTCCCCCCACAGGCCTCTGAGAAAGAAATTAGACATTCATTGGTGGTGGTGGTGGTGGTGTTTTTATAATTTTATTTTAGTGCGTTATCAAAGCTTCCTGAAAATAATACAACTAATATAATGCGATATCAATTTTGAGCATAAGTATTTCTAACATATACTGGTCTTCTCTAAAGAAACTATTCAGTGATTTGAAAAAGGATGTGCAATTACTGGAAATAATATATTAGGATGATTTGTTTCAGCATTTATGAGAAGCTGATCCAGTTTTGTGCAATTGATGAACTCGGCACTAATTACCCCAAGGTAAGTAAATTTGAAAGACTGGATTTATCACAATTTTTTCTAGTTCTTTTGTTGTTGGTTACGAAAAATAAACTCTTTCACATCTAGCCTGGTGGATGATATTCTTTTCCAAATAGGAGCAACTTCCTATTTTGTGCCCTGAGGAAAAAATGAGAATCACCAGAGTGGCAGCAATTATAGTAGCTGAGGAAAGGGATTGTACTGTATTTGATGCATCATATCACACAAAACAGGCACAATCTTCACCATTCTGCCATTATTATGAATTATTCTTCCTCATAGCTAGGACCAAAAAAAATGAAGAAGAAGCTTTAGAACCATTGCTTTCCTGAATTTGTGGTCCATTCTACTTCCCACTGTCATAGCACAATTTGGTATGTTCACTGCCTTGAGTTATATATAAAAAAGGTAGGATAAAACAACAACAACGCAATCTTTCATGACAGTGTGATTCTAATGGGGAATCTTTATCTGTTTAAAATGTCTATAACATTTTTAATGATAATCTGTTTAACTAGGATGTGAAGTCGGGGTTTCTTTTCTTTAAACATTGCATAGTTTAAAATCTAGAGATGTAACAGGGCTTTTTTCTTTTTTTTTCTTTTAGGACATGTTTGATCCTCATGGGTGGTCTGAGGATTCGTATTATGAGGCACTAGGTATTGAAGATTCTTTCTTTCTTTCTTTCTTTCTTTCTTTCTTTCTTTCTTTCTTTCTTTCTTTCTTTCTTTCTTCATCCATCCATCCATCCATCCATCCACCTACCTACCTACCTACCTACCTACCTACCTACCTACCTCATATTTATATAGCCACCCATCTCACACAAGGTGACTCTGGGCGGCATACAACGGCTTTCTCTAGATTTCTAAGTTCTAGTGAAATCTGGGGAACATTTGGTTAAAACAATGCATTTGTCTTTTTATATTGTCTTTTTTCAAAGAGCTCAAAGCATTAGTTTTGGCTTCTATTTTCCCTTTAACTGAATTAGAGAAAATTTGCAGTATTCTGTAATCTGGAGAATGAATGTTTTTAATAGATAGGGTTTGATGTTGAAAATATTATTTGAGACAGTACTTCTTTTGACCCACATATTTGAATCTGTTGGGTGTGTTTACTGTTGTGTGGCTCTCTTTTCAGCAAAAGCACAGAAAATTGAAATGGACAAGCTGGAAAAGGCCAAGAAAGAGCGAACGAAGGTATCAGTTATGTTTTAGAATGTAAAGAATTAAAGTTTAGCATTCCCAGCTTGCACTTTCATAAATCTGCAGTTAATTAAATTAAGCAAATTAAAAATTATTTTCTTGAACAATGATGACAGATCTTTTAAGTACTCCAAAGCATAGATAAGGATGAAAAGTAAGTGTGGTGATATATAGCTGTGTTTCTATTCCCAATAACCCATTGCTTTCCAATTTTTATTTGTTTGTGGGTGTGGGTGTATGTGTCTCTGTGTGTATCTATATCTTGAAAAAACAGTTGTGTTAAGTGATTGTTTATCCCAGAACCAACCTGACCTCCTTCCTGTAGAACCTGGTATATTTAACTAGTAAAGGCCTGGATTTAGTGAACATTATCCAAATAGTTAACAAGATATATGCGAGAGTTTCTCAGCAGCACATGTTTGAGCCTTTGTTCTTGTCACAGCCATTCAAATTGTTCCTTATATTATATTTTAATTACACAATTCTGTGATTCTGCCTCCTTCCAGCAATGATCTTGAACTTGTAAATGTATGCTCAGATTGTTGGGATTTTCCCAGTTACTAAGTTGCCATTGGTAATGCAGACTGTTCAGGTTATGCATGTAGAGACATGCATTCTAGCAGTTCTAATTTCCTTAGGTTTTTACTGTTAAATAATACGAAGTTCTAATTAATTGTTTTAAAGCACTTTATCCTAATTAAGAGAGCCAGGGTTTGAATAAAACTGAATAAGTTAGGAAGTGGAGGTGGCTCCCTCTTGTCTGCTATACATGAAGAAAAATCTTTATTATTTCCTGGTAAACAGCTGTGTGCTCATTCATTGAATCTCTGTGATCATGCCAGAATTGTTTATCTTCAGTACAGGCAACAAAGATGTACTCTTAATAACAATTTTTTGCCATATTCTTAATTCCTTTGGATAAAAATCACGAGCACAGGATATAACTGCCCTTCTTTTTTTTTCTTAGATTGAATTTGTAACAGGCACTAAGAAAGGGACAACGAACGCTCCCTCTACAACCACCACAACAGCCAGCACTGCGGGTGGAGGTGAGTGAGATATCTAGCTTTGAATTTCTGTTCTTCCTTACTTCATGAAGCCATGCTTCCTCATTTATCCACCACTCTTTGACATTGAAAAGAAAAGAAATAGATTGCCCATAATAGTTGGCAATCGAAAGTTTTTTATCCCAAAATTCAGATTATGCATCAAGGGAGTGATATTTGATTAACAGAAATGTCAGGCTTTTTGGAGCAAGTATTAATTGTGCAGAATTATGAAACTGTAAAATAGTGTCTTTGGAAAACGCAACAGTGGCCACGGGATTGGAAAAGGTCAGTTTACGTTCCAATTCCAAAGAAGGGCAATGCCAAAGAATGCTCAAACTATCACACAATTGCACTCATTTCACATGCTAGCAAGGTTATGGCAAACCTAGATAGCATATTAAAAAGCAGAGACGTCACCTTGGCAAACCTAGATAGCATATTAAAAAGCAGAGACGTCACCTTGGCAAACCTAGATAGCATATTAAAAAGCAGAGACGTCACCTTGGCAAACCTAGATAGCATATTAAAAAGCAGAGACGTCACCTTGGCAAACCTAGATAGCATATTAAAAAGCAGAGACGTCACCTTGGCAAACCTAGATAGCATATTAAAAAGCAGAGACGTCACCTTGGCAAACCTAGATAGCATATTAAAAAGCAGAGACGTCACCTTGGCAAACCTAGATAGCATATTAAAAAGCAGAGACGTCACCTTGGCAAACCTAGATAGCATATTAAAAAGCAGAGACGTCACCTTGGCAAACCTAGATAGCATATTAAAAAGCAGAGACGTCACCTTGGCAAACCTAGATAGCATATTAAAAAGCAGAGACGTCACCTTGGCAAACCTAGATAGCATATTAAAAAGCAGAGACGTCACCTTGGCAAACCTAGATAGCATATTAAAAAGCAGAGACGTCACCTTGGCAAACCTAGATAGCATATTAAAAAGCAGAGACGTCACCTTGCAGGAAGGCCTGGCGCAATATGGTTCATGGGGTCACGAAGAGTCGGACACGACTTAACGACTGAACAACAAAAAATAGTGTCTTTGTCATCATAGTTATGGAATGTGAGCCTTCTTGCAAAAATTAGTATGCTGACAGATACTGGGAAGGTACCAGAGGATACTAGTTATAATTCCTATCATTTTGTAACAAACCACTTGTCTGGTACTCTGAGAGAAAATAACATATAGGCAGAAAATAATGCTAATAGAATCCTGGGTAGAGGGCCAGCCTGAAACCCCTGGCTTGCAGGGTGCCTCAGAGTTTGATACTCTTGCCTCTCCTGTTTAACATCTACATGAAACCACTGTGTGAGACCAACCGCTGACATTGAGTCAGGTTTCAGAATACTGATGATGCTCAACTATACATCTTGACTGCTGCTAAACCAAATGATACTGTTATGTTCAGTGCTTGGAGGCTGTTTAGATTGCACAGTCCTGTTTAGAGCTGGTGTGCAATTGGGAGCCTTCCTGGACTTCACAGCCTCTGCTCAATTACCACATGGCAGCTGTGGACTGGAGGGCCTTCGTACAGGTTCATGACCTTCTCACAGATTCATCTGGTGCGCTGCCAGTTGTGCCCTTTCCTGGACCAGAAATTCCTCCTAATGATCACTCAAACCTGAGAGTTTGCCTTTCTCCTATTATTTTTGCATGCCTCATAAGATCTGACACAGCGGGCATGCTTTATATCCTAGCTCTGTCATCTGATGGGATCTAGGAAGTGCACCTTTTGTGTTGCAACACCTGCCCCTGGAACCTCAGGGGTTGAGCTGACCTGACCCTGCAAGCCTTTATACATTCTTCAGAAACTTAGCTTTCTCCCCAGGCTCTGGGGTGGGTTGGTGATGTGCCCATTTGATATGTATTGTTGCTTTGGGTTGGGATGCATGTTTTCTCCTATTATTTAATGTTCTTTGTGTTGTTGTTTTTCATTGTTGTTTTTAATAGTACACCCCCCAAAGTTGGCTTTGAGTTGGGCAGTCTTATAAATCTAAATAAATAAATAAATAAATAAATAAATAAGGTTTCCATTGATAGCCTATCCATGAAAGCTTATAGCAATCGTTAGTCTAAAATGTGACAAAAATGTTGTTGCCTTGGATAAATCATTTGAGGTTAATGATTTCAGAAAGCTGCTGACCCCCAGCAGCATTCTGAGATGAGATAGAATGACTTTAAAAACATTTACTTTTGAGGAAATAAATTTGTGATAAAAAGACTTTTATGTAACCAAGACTGTTGAAATAAATGCTTCTTTCAATACACAGATGCACAGAAGAGGAAAAGCAAATGGGATTCTGCCATTCCTGTGACAACAATAGCTCAGCCCACCATTCTCACAACTACTGCAACATTGCCAGCTGTTGTAACTGTTACCACCAGTGCAAGTGGCTCCAAAACAACAGTGATTTCAGCTGTTGGCACCATAGTGAAAAAGGCAAAACAGTGACAAGCACAGTAAAGAAACTGACTGAGTGGCTGAAGCTTTTTTTCAGACTTGACTGACACCAAAATCACCGTCTTTGGAATAAAGGAGGGACACTCTTTTCCAGATGTGAAAATGAAAGACTGTTGGGAAATAGGACGAAGAGTGGGCTTGCCTATTTATAATGGAGTTTTCTGTGGAAAAAAGCTCTTAGGCTTTGGTATAACTGCTCCCTACAGTACTGTGCGCAATCCAGCGTCGCTGTGTCAATCTTACATTTCACTGAAAGCTGTATTACAACTGTCACTATGTTAGAAAAACTGTACTGAATTGGACCATTCAGTTACATTTATTCTTCTCTCTGCCTCCAAGAATTATAGGCAAGATTCACTACTCCTCTCAAAAATTTAAGAGAAAGAAGAGTATATGACAACTCAGTTTCAGGCAGGTCATCATATGGACTAGGATGAGTTGTTCCCATGCAATCCATTTAGATTAAATGTCACAAATCAGGAACTGGAACACTTTGAAATTTGAGGGATGAAACAATTCATAACATTTGTAGCCATGCCTGTATTTGAGGAATCTTTGTGCAGATCTGAACGCAGCTGATAAGGAGGGTGTTTGTGAATAAGGAATCAAATACAGTTTCTGTATGCTAACACCTTTTGTTAGAGTTCTGCATATACATTTTAAATGTCTTTTGTGCATATGTAATAGCAACAAAGATTCCAAATAGGGATGTGTATAACTCACTGATTTGGGAATAGAATATTCCAGAGACTTCCAGAACATTCTATTCCCTCTCTGGACCATGCTGAACCTTCTCCCAGACCATGCCATTTCAGGGACAGTTAGGCAGTTTCAGAAGTAAATCCTCTGAACCACCACACATGTTCAGTTCTTTCCGGCGCTCTAAATTTTGCACATCCCTAGTTCCAAAGTACATAATTGTACAATACTGCCATTTTCAGCAGTGTAATTGCAAACACACTATCAGTTTAAATTTGTATAAGCTTTCTTACTGGTTTGACTTAAATATTGGAATATAAAAACAAACTTTTGAAAGTGCGTCTCATGTTTTATTGCTGCTGTTTGTCTTCCATTGTAGCTGTCAATTATATAGGACACTTGATAGCATCCAGAGGATGTTGAATTTCATTGGACTTGGGGTGGGGAGAGGGAGCAGCAGAGATGAAAGTGTTCAGCCAGATTTTCTTCATTCCAACAAGAATTATTTCAGTGCTGGTAAATTTAAATTACTAATAGGAGATGAAAGGCCCCCTTTAGCCCAAGAATCTGTTCTCTTTTTAGCCATTTGGGTACCCTTGAAAACCCTCAAGCAGGCCACACATGGATAGTACCTTTCCACCTAAGTTCCTTAGCAACTCTTACTAGCTTTGTAATAATTATTAGCAGAGCTTAGAGCGTCCTAGACATTACAAGGAATAGCTGTTCTTAACATAATCCTTATCTAATTCTCTCCTAAAACCTTTTAAAATAAAGGGCTTCATTGCATCTTGAGGCAGTACATTTATTTGCACAAGGTAGTGCTTTTTCTCCTCCATCCTTTATGGTGGATGATCCTGGGGCTTATATTTAAAGAGAAAGAGGAAATCCTATCTGCTCAATTTGATTGATTTTTTAAAAAAAACTATTTCCATTTATACATAAGCTTTTGGCCATACTGTGTTCAGGCAGAACTGGACACAGTATTCTTTGAGGTTTCTGTGCTTCCTATCTCCGCTTCTTGATGCTCAAAGACTCAATGGGTTTCTGCTTTCCAGTAATTATCCTGGGATAGGATTTAACCTAACAGGCCTGTGGTTTCCTAAATTGCTTTTTAAAATTTAGCATTACCTTAGTCACTCTCCATTTTCAAATATGAGTTCTTTTAAACATCCCAGTTATTTGTTTTTAACTTTTTTCTGTAAGGATTAGAACTTCATCTGTTTGCCCCACCAGTTCTCAGACTTCAGTATGTTCAGACTTCTTCATAGTTCAGACTTCTGGGAACAGCTATTTATCCATTCCCTGGCAGCCTACGTGAGGAGGAGAAGGATGGGCGTAAAAGAGTGTCAAGAAAAACGAATGGGGTGTCACAAGAAAAAAGTGTTGCTTTCTTCAGCTGCACCCACCATTGAAATACATTGAAATTGGAAATATCAAAAAGAGAAATATTGAAATAATATGTGTTTTATGTTATGCCCGCCGGAGAAGAAAAATGCCTGTCCTGATTATTAGAGAGTTAATATTTGTACATATTGTAAATGATTGTACTAAGCACAAGCAAAGTAACCATGGACTTAATCCTAAATGGCACCCAGGATTTCTGTATAAGATGTGAGTGTTGTCGAACTGATTGGAAACAGTCATCCCAATGCCATCCATTCAAATGTATACTTCGGTAAAAATCTGCCAAATAATTTCCACACAATTGCATCTGACTTAAGGTGAAAATTACTGATACAAAAGTGCTCAGGGGGTCAACATATCTTCAGAATGATAAAGGGGTTATTCAAAACCACAATAACAGAAACTTAGTTCGAAAATCTCCCACCCCATTATCCTTGTCGGTTTAGTACTTCTCTTTGCTTTTGGTGAATTGCTTGTTAGGCCAAGACAAAATAAACATACTTTAGAGGTCATATTTATTTAGCATGGAAAATGTTATGTATAGCTGTCCAGGCTGACTTCATGTTGACTAAAAGCATGGCTGCATTACAGAAGGGAATACCTGTTCTTTTCAGATATTCTCATATGACTGAAAAAGATGCTGAGATAAGTTCAAGGACACGATAGTTCTAGAGATGTTTTAATTTCTGTTCTCAACCCCGCCACAGGTTTTCTGAAATGGCATCACACATACAGTGTTGCTAAACAGTTTGTGAACACTTTTGAATTTTCAATAGTTCTGCATATATATGACCTAGAACATGATCTGTTATCCACACAAGTCCTAAAACTAGATAAAGAGAACCTAATTAAATGTGTCAAAAACACTTAAATATACTTGTTAATTGATTTACTGAGAATGATCCAAAGCTACATACTGTATCTGTGTGTAGCAAAAGTATGTGAACCTCTAAAATTTGTTTTCGTTCAGTTCGTTTGAAGGGGAAATTAGAGTCAGGTGTTTCAATCAATGGGATGATAATCAGGTGTGAGTGTAGAAGGTCCTGCCTTATTTAAAGAACAGAATTCTGGATATTTGCTGTCAAAGTTTCATCTTCACAACACGGGTTTCAGTTATTTATCTATCAAACTTGTATAGCCGCCCATCTCACAGAAAAGTGACTCTGGGTGGCATACAACACTTAATTTAAAAAAACAATAAATATATTAAAATATTCATTATTAAAAACTATAAAAAACACAAAAACAGGAGAGGATGATGTTAGCCACAGTAAGGGAGCCATCACAAGATCTCCCTGGAACCTCCAGGCCTGAAGGCATAACCAGGTTTTGAGGGACCTGCAGAATGTTAAGAGGGATGGAGCTAACCTCACTTCCGAGGGGAGAAGATTCCATAAGGTGGGTGCCATGGCAGAGAAGGCCCATGTCTGGGGACCCACCAAGTGAGTTCCCTGACAAACAGGACCAACAGCATGCCTTCTCTGCCAGATCTGGTGGGATGGGCAGGTATAATCTGGGAGAGGCAGTCCCTCAGATAACCCAGCCCCATGCCATGTGGATGGCTTGAACAAAGATTTTGAGGACCTCTGAAAAGCAGTTGTTGATCCTCATCAGGCTGGAAAAGGTTACAAAACTATTCCCAAGGAGTTTGGACTCCATTAGTCCACTCACTCTCAAGCAGATCATGTAAAATGGAGGCAATTCAACACCACCGTTACGCTCCCCAGGAGTGGTCAACCAGCCAAGATCACACCAAGAACAAGGTGTGTAATACTCCAAGAGATCTCAAAGAACCCCAGGATAATGTCAAAGGAACTAAAGACCTCTCTTGCATTAGTGAATGTCAGTGTTTGTGAGACCACCATCAGGAGAACACTGAACAACAATGGTGTGCATGGCAGAGTTGCAAGGAGAAAGCCGCTACTCTCCAAAAAGAACATTGCTGCCTATCTACAGTTTGCAGAAGTCCTGACCTTAATTCTATAGTAATGTTGTGGAAGGACCTGAAGTAGGCAGTTCATGTGAGGAAGCCCACCAACATCCCTGAGCTGAAGCTGTTCTGTAAGAGGAATGGGCTAAAATTCCTTCAAGCTGATGTGCACGACTGATAAACAGTTACTGGAAACGTTTAGTTGCAGTTATTGCTGCTGAAGGGGGGCACACCAGTTACTGAAAGCAAAGTTCACATACTTCTGCCACACACAAATATGTAGTTTTGGATCATTTTCCTCAAATAAAGGAACAAGTATAATGTTTTTTTATTCATTTGTTTAACTGGGTTCTCTTTATCTAGTTTTAGGACTAGTGTGGAGAACAGATCATGTTTTAGGTCATATTTATGCAGAAATACTGAAAATTCAAAAAGGTTCACAAACTTTTAAGCACCACTGTATCATGTAAGCTATGATTTGTTTGCTATTGGACCTGCAGTGACAGAACAGCCCTACCATGACATCTTTTTCAACATTTTGACCCAAACTACATAACTAACTTGTTTTATCACTGGGGAGAAGATAGGGGGGAAAAAGTGGGCCAGAAGATTGTGCAATGATGATGCATGCTGGAACTTGATTACCCTAGCATATTTCAAAAGAGGCTACATAAGATACCTCAGCAACTCAGGACGAACCATCCGTGTTTTTATGAGGGTACAAAGAAGAGTAAGTACATATAGCCTCTACTGCAGTAACTACCATCCTATTTCTGTCCAGGCATAGTTCAAGGTTAATAAAAAGATGTAGATTTTGCAAGTTTTCCCCTATTCCCTTGCATCCATTGACATCAATATAATGTTCTTAGAAATTAAATCAAAAAGTTACTGAGGAAGGCCTTCTCATCCATGAACCTATTTTTATGCACTGATTGCCCTGGATATCACTCAGTGCGTCCAACCCTACAAACATTTCAGAAGCTTTTGCATTCTTTCCTATGCCAATTTTAATCCACTCCTTTGTATAAAATTAACTACAGGTTGGTCTGGAATAGAACCAACCTATTTTTCTAAGAGAGAGACTCTGGATTTATTTAGAAAGAACTTAGTAGAAGCTTATTTAATACTTAATACTCATGGGTACAGCACTCCCATGCATAGCAAAGCAAAATTAAAAACAAAAAAACAAGTTGCATAGTTTTAACCGGTGGAAAAAGCTCATAAAGGCATGCTGTGGATTGCTTCCCTTTCCCCACCTTCTTTTGAAGAGTGCTTCTGTTTGCAGCTCTTTGGATTTCCTGGAGGAGTCTTGTGGCCAGACCAAATCACTCTTAAAATACTTCAACCCATCCTCTGTCATGGTCTACACAGGTCTAAAATCTCAGAACTGCGCTGTTTTGTTTGAATAGAGATGGAATATAAATACCATTTTCTGGGAGCAGCCTTTATTGTGAGCACTGTCTAAAGAAACCTTCCACCAATCGTGCTGCTGCCTTCCAGCTGTGTTGAGATTGTCACCTCCAGAATTCCCAGCCAGCAAGGCTATCTGGAGGATGGTAGAACAGGGAAAGTGGCTGAAAGTGAGAAGTGTTTTCTTGGAGGACAAAATAGCCTTTCCTGTGAGCCTTTCCAGTACATCTTGCTCTTGGTAGCTGATGGATTGCCTTTTTGCGACAACTCATCCTCTCATCAAATTTGACATTACCTAAACTCGACATATCCCATCTCCTGCTACAAATCATCCTTTTAATGCATGAGGACAGTGTGTTTTTCTGGTTGCTGCTGCCTCTGTGGTCTCTTCTGATCTCATCTCTAGATTGTAAGCCCTTTCAGGCAGGGGCCTAAGACCACTCATTCTTTGTAAAGGGTCACTGATAGGGCTAATGCTATGACTAAATTTGGATGATGCATTAACTATGCAGACTGTGGTTAAGTGTGAATATGCCTGATCAAGCCATCTGGCTACCTGTGTCCTACCACCCTTGAGGCTATGCAGCTCAACATTATCTGCTGCTGGCTTACTGAAGGATTACTAGGTACTTTGTGTTCAGCCCTTGCTAACTCTGAGAAGAAACCTAAAATGACAGGTTATGTCAGTGTCACACTGAAGTTACTATCCCAAAAAATCCAAAGCACTAAAACAGGAGCAATTAAGAACATCAGCTCAATTCATGTCAGGCATTCTGTCATAAAATCTAAAAACCCAACTGCTAAGAACAAGAAAATTAAACAACTGTTAAAAAATTGAAGGATCTAAAAGAAAATAAGTGGAGAGCTAATCTACCTCTCGGAAAGGAGTTCCATAAATATGGGTCCACCTCTGATAAGTGCCTGTCCATGCTTGTCAGCTTAGCTATCAGGGCTACCAGGCATATGAGCAGCCCTTCTGCAGCTCTGACTGTCCTCTGCCACAAAGAACATGGGCAGATGCAATTGCCCATTTATCACACCAATGTTTAAGCTGGTGAGATTGCCTTCTGAATACCCTCTCCCCACAACTCCAAGGGTGTATTCTACTATCTCAGCTTATCTTGAAGGTCTTTGTTTCTGAGCTGGTGGGCACACTTCCAAACAAAGCATTGCGAAAACTGAATTTGTGAAAAGCTCTTGGGTTGGGTGGATGTTGAGACATTCCAGCTGAGTTCAGGTTCAGTGCATCAGTGCTTAATTTCTGAAATAAAATGATAAAATTTAAGCCTGCTAAAAGTATCCATAGAAACTTTTCTACAACAGTAGTTCAGGGGGCTTCAAGCAGTTGGGTAGCACCTCTCAGAGACCCCTTAAAATAGCTGCTTCTGCACTCCACAACTGCAGTGCGATTCCCATAAAAATATGTTTAATCTAATGAGTTGCCAGCAGGTGCTACTTGAGTGTCCCTGTGTGCTCCAAAGCACCTTTGTTTCCTTCAGATCCAAAGGGCTGCACAGTCCTGATATTTTTTAAAACCTTCCATTTCTGGCTGTGTGGCCGTGTTCTGGAAGTTTTGTTTCCTAATGTTCGCCAGCATCTGTGACTGGCATCTTCAGAGGGCAGGAGCACAGACAGGAGCAGTTCTCTCTGTGCCCAGGGGACACAGGGGGACATA